AAAACAACAAAAAGAAAGGAAGCACCCTTTATGCTCATGTGGGAAGGAAGGAAGGACACCTCCTCCTTCTCTTGTCCCCCTCCCCCCCCCCCCTTGTTTCCCAGTTTTATGGAAACTAAAAGGAAATTCTTGGGATAGAAACCAAAGATTCCATGTTGAATGAATTCAGACGCACCTTTTATGCTTGTATAAATATATACGTATATAGAACATGTGGTGTTCTTGCGCTAAACCACCTAAAAAGAAGGTGGTGGAAGGTGATGGGGATAGGGAGTGCGTACCTATTACGCGGGTGTTTATAAAAGATTAGAACTGAATTCGGATCTTTAAAGGGGAAAAATCGAGAGCAGTGTCTTGAATTTCCCTATTTTTTTCTAATCTGTAATTTTTAGCCATGAATCGGAATTTACATGGTCTACGCGATATGTATTTGTATCGTTAAAGGATATTAAAAGGGATCATCAGCGATAACAACAAGAACAAAAGGAAACTCTCTTAACTGTGGCGAGGCATTACCCTACGTGTTTGGGGTTTGGATGTTTCTCTGGAAAATGAGATGCACTCTGTGGGTTAATTCCTTATAAGATGGTTATTGTTTTCTCCGTATCTCTTCTACCCTGTCTTAACTTGCCTCCGGGCGTTCCAAAACCCCGAGTCTGGGAAGGAATAATTAAAGAGTTACCTGTGGAGGAGAAAAGGTTGCCCCTCCTCCCCCCTTTCTTTCTCTCTTTCTTTTCCCCCTCTCCTCCCCAAAAAATAAAATATAAAGGAGTGCAGCTCTTCCATGCTTGCTCTTACTCGTCTTGCTCTGAAGCGATGCTTAGTGGCTGATAACGCGCTGGTTTCCCTTCCCGCTGGGGTGCGTCGCTGCGAGGTCTTTCGGAATGTCGTTTCCATGCAGGAGGAAGAGCTCATTTACGAGGAGTTCAGCCGTGTACTCCAGAAAGAAGGGCAAACCGTCTACGCGCATAACTCCTCGTCGGATTCGAAGGCGATCAAGCAAAGTTTTATGGAGATTCACGGTGATAAGGACTTCACGGAGGTTAAGAATCACACGCGAAAGGAAATCCGGCGTCTCCCCGGGTTTACGTGGTCGCCGACCTTCCAGAACGTTCTCCGCGAGGTCGCCCCGCGGCTGATGCGGGAGATGCCCGATACCGGCCGAGTGATTGAGCATCACCTCCCTGGTTATGAAATGCACACGGAGCACCCTACGGTGGGCTCTGTCTTTTTATATTTTAACTTTTTATGCGATACCGTGCTGGAATTCGATGACGAACCGACGGAGCGCTATGGCCAGGTCTACCTCCCCGCGCGATCGCTCCTGTGCGTTTCTGATGAGGCGCGCTGGGGCTTTCGATTTGGCGAGCGTACGGAGGACGAACACGTCTTCATCAGCCCGAGTAAAGTCTCTCGGAGGGTAGAAATGGATATGCGTTTTAGCATCCAGGTTTGGAAGCTCTCCGCACGCCTGATTGACGCGCAGATGCTGCGTGAGCGCTTAGAGGAAGGGGTGGCGATGGTGCAGGAAAAGTTCGCGACGAAAGCCTCCGCGACGTCGGAAAAAGCGCGCGATGAAGCGGAGGCCATGGCGGCGTTGGTCGACCCCGGGCTGAATCGTTTTAATTCCGTCGCGGCGACCCCAAAAGGGGGTTTGGCGGCGGACGCGATGAGTTCCTTTGTGGGCTCCGCGTTAGGGGCCGAAGGGGGCTCCACGGAGCTCGGCGCCGGCCTTCTCGGTGGGGATTTCAAACGCGAGGATGGAAAGCCGCCGCCGAAGAATTTCGAATCGGCTATCGGGGAGCTTCGCGGGGATTATGAATCCCACCGAGAGCGCTTCCTTCGAACGCAGGGCATCCTACAAGAGATGAAGGCGTTGGGCGACGCAGGGCAGCCGATCAACGATGCCTACCTCAAAAAGAAGATTAGCGAGGCGACCGCGTCGGATCCGGAGCGGGATCGCCTGGAAGGATTTGATGCGGAGGACGTGGAAGGGACCTGGGAGCGCGCGGACGCCAAGGCGCGGTTTTACAAGGCGAAGATGCTCAAAATGGATTACGACGGCACGGCCTACCGCAACCGGAAGATGCCGGATATCACGAAGGAGGCCCCGCTGGAGATGCGCGCGACGGTGGAGAAGGTCGCGCCGCATATCCCGGGCGCCGAGGAGCTGCTTAAATCCTTTCCGAAAGGTCGATAACCACGCGGGACTGGATTCCTCAGGTGCACGTCCTTTTTCTCCATCTTCGGTTTGTTTTTCTTTCTCGCGAAGGATTTAGACTTTTTCTTTTCGCTAATATCGGGGAGGGGGGAGTGCCGATTTGTGATCCTTACCGTGTATTTGCGATAGGTGGCTGCTTTTTTCATGGCACGGGGTGGCCTTGCAAAGGGGGAGATGGTCTTTTAATGGTCTTGTTAGTTTAGAAAGCTATTTCCTATTATTAGTTTGAAGTTACTCAGGTTTGATTTTCTCCACAGAATATATCTCATGCTTTTTCTTTTTTATCTCTTTACTTTTTCTTTTTCCTATGATTGATAGTTGCCATTACCTTGAGCAAACTGAGCATTACACACATCTAACTAATAAGCACTTTCATTATAAGCATTATTTTCTTGTGAAAGATTGCTTTAGTTTCACTTTTTCCAGTTTTCACTCTGACGCGATCTAAGAGTGATGAGAAGTAATTTTCAACAGGGCCCGATAGCATCAACAAAAAATTAAAAAAGTGAACCTATAATGGATAACCACGCGGATTGTGCATTGGAAGCCCAGGCCATACGGTCCTTTCCAGAGGCATTTCCTCTCGCAAAGAATCATATCAAGGCCATTTTAACCTGCGAACTCTCAACACCGCGGGATCAGCTGTTCGAATCGTTGCTAGGTCTGGAAGAAAACTTAAAGGAGAATGTCGGACTTATCGCTCTACTGGACTCCATCTATCCATCACTGAAGGGGTCTTTGATCGACTTGTTGGAATGCGCGGCGGACCCTTCCACTGCTCAGCGAGCGTTGCTATTTCTCATAGATAGCTTATTGGGGAATACCTCGGTAATGGATCAGAGCATCTACTCTCGTTTGTTGAAGCATCGTAAACTTATAATTAAAGCGCTTCTTTTGGATGCCCATCCCGATCTTTCTACAGCGGCTTTCGAGCTTCTCGCATGCGTCGCGTTTATGCGAACGGATTCGCCCACGGCAGCACCGATGATGGAGGTGCTGTTAAGGGAGTCTATTTTTAGCGAGGCCTCTCGAAGAATTGAAGCGCTTAACGGCTCTTTAAACCTCTTGGACGAGAATTTAGTGATCGTATTACAAAATGTGATATCCACGCTACGTCTCAGCCTCATTTGCACGACCAGAAACCCCACTCAGCTTTTCCCCCTTCCCGACGAGGTGCGGGGTTCAATTTCGAAGTTTATTCATAATAAGTTTTGGCTGGCGACGGCGTGGTCGTGCGTGGGGGAAGCCCACAGGGGGGTGCTCTTCAATTTTCTCCTTTTGTTAGCAACGATGACGTGGTCCTCGGACGGGGATCTCGCGCTGCAAGCGCAGGAGCTCCTGCAAACCCACCTCGATGCGCAAAAGCAAAAAGCGGAAGGGGAGGCGAGTTTAACGGCGTGGGTGGGGTGGTTGACAACGAACATTCACGCCGCGGAGGTCGCCTGGGATCGTCTCCGTCGTCTCCCGCGAGGGGATACCAGCAATGACGGCGACGGCAGCACCCCCATCGCTTTGGAGGATCCACGTGAGGTGTTAAAATGCCTTCAGGAGCTCGTCGAAGGGGTTGGGGCGGAGGATCGCACGCCAGGGGTTTCCGTCGAGGTTTTGATCCTCCTCCCGGGCGTGCTCCGCTTTCTCTGCGATCAAATCGCGCTCGACGAAGGGGCGCTTTCCTCGGACGCGATCTTCGTGTGGTCGACCTGCCTCACACGGGATCGGGCGGGCGGGAACGGGGGCTTCGCGGGGGATTCCACCGCCCTCCCGCCTTCCCACCTCGCGCGCGCCGTGGGGGAGGACGGGTTCCTTTCCCACGGGGCCGCCGCACGCGCCGGGGCGTTCTTGGAAAGGCTCTTGTGGACCGCGGACGTTCCCCGGGGGTTGGCCCTCCTCGACGCGGTGTGCCTGCTCGACGAGCCTTCCGTCGGGGGGCGCGCGCGGCGGCGGCGGGACGCCGGTGGGGTGTTTCCCGCCATCCTCCACGCGCTTCACCGCCTCGCGCAGGACCTCGCGGCGGAAGGGGAGGACGGGTTTCAGGGCCCCCGCCGCTTCGCCTCGGCGGCGGTGGCTCAGGCCTGCGAGCGGTG